GAGGGGACCTCCCCCCCCAGTGTGGCTGATGGGTGGGAACACTTCAAAAGGAGGCGCTCTTCAGCACAACCCCCACCCCGGCAGGAGATGCAAACATCCCCCGTTGTCAGTTACTGGTCTGCTGAGGCCCCCTCTCAGGCCCCCCCCCCATCAAGTCAGCCTGAGGGGACCTCCCCCCCCAGTGTGGCTGATGGGTGGGAACACTTCAAAAGGAGGCGCTCTTCAGCACAACCCCCACCCCGGCAGGAGATGCAAACATCCCCCGTTGTCAGTTACTGGTCTGCTGAGGCCCCCTCTCAGGCCCCCCCCCCATCAAGCCAGACAATTAAGTGTTAAAATAGCAGGGGGTGTTCTAATCGGCACCAGCCTGGTGTGGTGTGTGACCTAACTAAGGACCCTAACACCAGTCAGCAGTGGGCTGCAAGCATGCAGAAGGGCCCGGGGCCATTTGCACCTAGCGGTCCAAGAGAGCCATGCCTGTGGCCCCCCCCCCCCCCCCCCCCCATGACTGCAGATCTGGACTAGGTGCTCCGGTGCAAGCGGCTCCGTTGAGGTCCCTGCCTCTCCTCGGGCCTCCCTGCCTCCCGCTTCAGCAGCAAGCAGAGAGGGTGGCAGGCAGTGTTCCCCCTCAGCTGAGTGAGCGTGAGCTAGCTCACAGTTTTTTAGCCTCCGGCTCACGAAGGGTGGGGCTCCAAATCGCTCGCTCACAGCTTTAAGGCCAGGAGCTCACAAAGCGGGATTTTTGCTCACAAGACTCCACAGCTTAGGGGGTGCTTTGGTGGCCGGAAGCCTGGGGGTCCACCGGCCTAGGGGGCCTTTCTGGGGAGCAGAGGCTTGAAGGCAGTTTGGTGTGGAGGCCGGTTTGGTTCCCCACGCAGGCACGCGGCTGCCGTCCTCTCAAGTCCTCCTCTCAGAGCTGTCCTTGAAAAAGAGCTCTCTCAGCCCCGCCTGCCTCACAGGGGGTGTCTGTGGTGGGGAGGGGGAGGGAGAGGAGTTTGTCAGCCGCTCTGAGACACCTTCGAGTAGTGAAGGGCCGTGGGGTATGAATCCAATCTGTTGTTGTTGTTTCTTCTTCTTCTTCTTCTTCTTCTTCTTCTTCTTCTTCTTCTTCTTCTTCGCAGCAGGGGGGGGTCCCTTGCCCACGCAGAGGGCGGCTGCCCCATCAGCATTGGCTGGGGTGGCGGCCAGGCTGGGTGGGT